AAACTTCATTGCAAAATAGTAGATGGAGTCAAAGCATAATGCCTGTTGAAGGTATTCAAATGTTGGCTCTATACATTCTTGGCATCGGAAGATGAACAGGTAGTTCCGGCAAAAAAAAATGCTAAAAATCAACGGTATTTTGTAGCCACTTGAAACTTGCACTTTATTATACTAATGGGTAGATTATGGATGGCAAGGCAAACTCAGTTGGGCCACTGAAATGAAAATATTTATTATGAATAGCCAATATAGCTAAGTTCTAAATATAAAGTTGAAGGTAATAAAATTTAAAAAAACCAGCAATTAAGACTTGAGTGTAAAATGAGCTGCGGAAACAGTTGAAAACAGCAATGAATCATCGCAATAAAAATTTCCGCGGCGAACACAGAAAAACAGTTTCCGATATAGCAACTCAGTTGCCAGCATTCATTTGCCCGTTGCCATATGTAATCACCATTTCAGCCACTGGTCATCCAACTAAAGTTCGGTTGCCATCCGTAATCGACCCATCAAATTAAATGGGCTAGAAAACTGCTTACCAAAAATTCTAAAAATTTTGAATGATCGGTGAAAATTTGTTGATTTTTTACAAAGTTTGAAATGTGGATTTATATAGTTTTTAATGTTTAACTAGCTAGACTTTTATAAAAAATTTAAAAAATTAAATAAACCAAAGAAATACTTTCTTCACTTGTTTTCTTCCAGCGAATTATTTTTGTACAAAAAAGACATTAGTAAAGTCAGTTCTTTAGCCGAAATACATTTTTTTCATAATTTGTGGTAGAAAATAGTTTTTGCATGATTTTTATTTTTTTTCAAGAAATCTCTTTGAATATTTTAAATAGGACCAAGGACCTAGAATTTCTTTTTCCTTTTCTCTTTCATTTTCTATTTACCTTACTCCTATTTTACTTTTTCATTTTATTGTTATTAATTTTTTCTTTTTCTTTACTTTTGTCTTTCCCTTTCCGTTTCTTTTTTTTTATATTTTCAATTGTCAATTCTGTTTCTTAGCTGAATAATATGTTTACATGGAAGCAGGCAAGAGAAGCAAAACAATTTGGCTTTTTGTATACATATTTACATACTTAGATGTCCTCTTATGGCTTACGTACAGCGCGTATACGCAACTTTCGATCGCTGCTAGCGACCCTTCTTAAATCAATTAAGCAAACTCATACTCATTTGCATAAGATTTTTGAAGTACGTCATAACTTTAAAGGCTATGGCATTTACTACATATTTCTGTACATACATATGTATGTATGTATGCATACACATTAGGGTGGTCCAAACGCGCATGAGGAAAAAGTAAGGTCGAGTTTTTTATGCTCTCACCCCAAGGATTTTTCTATAACTATATATTTTGAAATCAAAAAATAGTTAGAGGTCGCACAAAGCGCTCAAAGTTTTCCATGTATTTTATATAGGAAAAAGACTACTATTCATAGAAATCGTATGGGACTCTGGAAAATCAATATTTGTCGATGGTAAAACTGTGTTTCTCTTCAGGAGATTCCCATTAATAATACCCAATTATTTATTTAACCATTTTTTCATAGTGTCTATAGTTTATAGTTCCGTCCAAACCCCGACAAAACGCCAGAAAATGCAATGGGGGGTGGGGGGGGGGATAAATAAAAAAATCTCTAGTGTTAAAAAATGATTCAATAAACAATTGGGTATTGTTATTGGAAGTCTCCTGAAGAGAACCAGAGTTTTCCGATCGAAAAATATTGATTTTCAAGAACTCCATACCATTTCTACGAAAAGTTGTCTTTTTCCTATATAAAGTACATGGAAAACTTTGAGCGCTTTGTGCGACCTCTAAATATTTTTTGATTTCAAAATAGGAGTAAAATAGGGGTATGTATATTTTTTGGGTATAGAAAAATCCTAGGGGGTGAGAGCATAAAATTCCGATTTTACTTATTTTGGACCACCCTAATGTATGTACATACATGTTCGATTATGCAAATAAACATAAATTTATCCAAATAAGTATTTGCATACGTATGCTTTTAAGGTATACGACGCGACAAGTCACTGGGATTTTTTTTTATTCGCACCATAAATGTAGTACGTACACCAGCGTATATGTTTGATTGTATATGTATATTTGCCAAGTTTTCATTCTTTACTGCTGCTGCTTTTGGTTCGAGCACCCACGGGCAACTTCCATTCCCTAATTGGTAAGAACAAGATTTTTCGAATGCAGGTATATGTATGTATGTATACATGAAAATGCCAAAATCAAAAGCAGGCTAAAAATAGATAGATACCTATAATTACGATATATGTATATAGAAATTTCATTTTTAAATTGTCTGCAAGATATTTATTTGATAACCATGACGTCATAGCTGCAGGGGGTTAGCATAAATTGTAACAAAGTCAGTCGGTTTTTTGTTTTTTGATTTTGTGAGGAACTTTATTGTAGAATACGCACTTACATTTAACAAAAAAATTAGTTTAGAAACATTCAAATCAATCAATGGTGGCAACTGCTCCGCTCATTGAAATTTCACTTTCGAGTACCCAGTCGGGTCATGCAGAATGTGGTTACCTAAGAATGTATTTTTTCACGAGAAATTCGAAGCACAGTTTAATTCTGTATTGGGCTGAAAATCTGTTGGTCGTGAAAACTTCACTGCTGAAGTGAAAATTTTGTAATGCTTTGACTTCGGCAAATACATAAATCCGAATGAGAATAAAAACTCTACAAAGCTCTCCAAACCAACAACAACCACCTCTTGCAAAATTGCCTTCTAAAGAACCGTTCTTGTGAATTAAAGACTTCATGTTTTTGGATCTACTTCTGAAAGAGAAAAGGACCATGCTATAGGTACATTTTGGAAGCAACCAAGTCCAACTGGGTACGTGCGAAATACGCATACTCAGAGAGCGCTCATGATGCTATGGCCCAGTCGGCCTTGATTGGTAGAGCGCCCTGAACACGGTTAATCGCAATCAAAGCATAATCCACAAAATTTACTTTACCAGTGAAAAACTATTTGATAAGAACTGAGAAGAATTACAGCACACGCTGTCTTCCAGGGACATACATACATATGTATGTATGTAAGTAGCTTCTTACGATTTGTATTTATTTATATCGGTCAATATAGTCAGCCCTATATAAGCACTTTATTAGATATGGAATTCGGAAATGACAGAGATATGGTCAAAAGTTATAGCTTATTATGGCTTTGTGTAATAAAATTTTGCTTTTAACAAAAAAATCTTTAAGACTCAGCTCAACACCCAATCACAGGAATCATATCATTTAGCTATTCACCAAATAATTCGAATGAATCAAATATCCACATATATTGTGCATTAGGGTGCATCATTTTCGCAAAAAAAATCGGTGTAGTTTTCCCAACCGAATTATAAAATTTATTATATTTTAAAACTTCTGCCTTTTAAACATTCAACAATTATGTGGCGACCTTAGCTCAGTGGTTAGATCACTGGCTTTGTAATCCGAAGTCATTGGTTCGTATCCCAGTGACCGCGATTAAGAAGTATGATGAGGAGATGTGGCGATATTTGTAATAGCAACTATAACTTCTAACACAATAATTTATCATTAAAAAACGGCCTCAAGCTCATAAAATTATTGAATATGATTTGGTTTTAGGCCAATAAACAGAAAAAAAACAAATAATTTTAAAAATTTTCAAGCAGACCTTTAAATTTATAATTTTTGTATCATCTGACGTGATTTTTTGAAAAAAAAAAATTTTTTGTAAAAATTATCTTATTTATAACAAACTATATTTTTGAAGGTATTTTTAAATCGGTTCAGCTCAGGTTAATCTTAAAATTTTTTTGAGATATTTTGGCAGAAATCTTAAGACATAAAAAGTTTTATAATTCCCACAGCAAAACCGCACCTTTTTTGGTGGGGTACACTAATATACGTATACAGTGACTCAAACAAATAACCATGTGTTGATTTTTTTTTTAATATTCGTAATGTTTTTCGAGCTAATTATTTTATTGTTTATCGATAAAACTACCGGCAGAGCTTTAACCAAAATCACATATGTATGTATGTAAATCACAGTTTCAAACTTTATACAAAATGTAGGAAAATTTAACAAAATTTTCATCAAAATTTCACCTTTTTAATCCTAATTTAAATAATTTTTGGGTATGTAGTTTTAACGCCAATAAAATTTTAGTCAAACATTTGATGAAAATTTGTTGAATTTTCCTAAATTTTTCATAAAGTTTGAAACTGCGATTTTGCTCGAAAAACATTAAGAATATTTAAAAAAAAATCAACACGTTGTCATTTGTTTGAGTCACCGTATTAAAAATTTCTTGTGTTTTCATATCGTTTTTTAGCCATCTTTTAATCACGGTTAAAAACAGATGAAAAAACAGATATGTATATGCACCTACATACATATAAATAAATAGCTATAGCTCCTAAATGCGCGTCAGCGCATTAGCAAAAAGAATTTAAATATATTTACGCTTGCGCATTATTTTGATTAATTATTACCAGCATGCATTTATTTGAATATTTTTTTTACTTTAAGTATTTTTCAACACAATTGCAAAATTTTATTAGCTTTGAGTGGATGACGCCTTAAAAAATACTTTATAACACATTTTTTGTTGTAATACCGCGCACCAAAGGCATTATTATTTGTTTTTGTTTTTTTTGCAATGCTTTGCAAAACTGGTATTTGCAGTTTATTGCACTTGTCATGTAGCAAAAAAAAAGCAACAATAAATATCATGACAACAGCAAAAATTTTTATTTGAAAAGTTGCTGCCGGACTGTCAATTCACCAATGAATCACCAAAACACAGCGTGAAACGTTGCTCATATTCATATGTATTTATTTTCACTGCAACACATGGCATACTTTGTAATGCAAATTTATATTTACATTTACTTAAACTGAACAGTAATAGAGTACATGATTTTGAACTGTTTTAATGCTTTTCAAAATTTCAATGCTCAATTTTTTCCTACTAACATTTTCAGTTGCGCCTTTCCTTATTTCAGCTCACTTGAATTGCAAAATTGTAGTAGTCGCCTGGTTTCCTTTATTGCAATTTCCTTATTTTTTAAATTGTGCAACGAATAATTGCACATTCAATTCAATTTAATTCAATTGGACTCGGCTTTTTGCTTCTTTTTTTTTTTCTTTTCTACCACAATCACAATGCCATTTATGCTGTCAAGAACGTAAGAGTATAATTTCAAAATTTCAATTATTCGCGCGCACTTTCCACTCACCGTTTTACTTAAGCTTTTGCTGCTGCTTGAGTTTCTACTGCACACCACTACATACAAACATACATTTAGCTGTGCGCACTTCGTTTATCCGCTTCCGTTTACGTTTGCCAACAACCGATCCGCAATGCACCAACTCAGAATACGAACTAAACGCTACGCAGCAGAGTTGGTGATCGCGAGTCCGGTGGTTTTAATTAGTGATGTAAGTTTTTATGCAAGAGTACCGTTTTAGGTAAAACTAAGTTTTTAAAGGTAAGCGTATTCGAGTCAGTAGATCAGGCTTGAAGTGAACTAATAGCTTCCTAGCGTAACAACCTTTGAAACGCATCAACTGTAAATTTAGTTAACTGAACAATCTGAATTATTTGAGGAATATGTTCGGGCAAGGTGGCTGGAACTACATACCACGGTTTTCGGAATAAAAACCACGAAATTTCAACCAGCTTAAAATGATCAAGCATTATCAAAAATTCAGAATTTAGAGATAACGGTAAAATAAAAACCTTCCAATTAAATAAATATCTCGATATCCAAAAATATTAATTGAAAAATTTAATATTAATTTACAGTAAAGTTTTTTTTTTCAAAGTAAAAGTTTTCATTCTCCTTAACCGTTTCAGTATAAAAATTCAACCGCTGTAGCTAAAAATCTGAAAATTCGTATACCGGGTTATTTTGTATGGTTAATTTCAAGGATTTCAAGTGGTCTCAGTAATTTTAATTTTTCTATCGAGAAATATATTTCAAAACTTTGAATACTCATAATTTTTCTCGAATGCAAATTCTAGTAAATTTTTTTCAATAGAATACTCTGCTCACTGTGGACTTTTGTAAGATACTTTTGTGAAAAAAAAAACGCTGTAAACTGCATACAGAAAATTTGTTCAAAACAAAAAAGATCTCTAAGGACAAAACAAGTGTGTCCAATATATTGGTCGCTGGTAGTGATGGGGTTGAATAGTTTCTTATTTTGAACTCCTTAAGCTAAAATAACTGGAAAAATTTAAACACAAAAGTATTTATTTTTGTATGCATTTTAGTTTAGTAGAGATTGTAAAGGCGTTTAAGCAGAGATCGAGTATGATCAAAGTTAATAAAATATAAAACTTATGTTGTTATTATATTAAATAATAAATTTCGGTACGCGTACCGTTATTTCATTTAATAGAGCAACACTATTTAAATTGATGTGGGTTGCAACTTGCAACCACACCTACATACATATGCAATTTCCATTATGTGTACATGTATGACAGCAACACAGAGGCGAATTTAGCACAAAACAGCAACAAGTGATCCTAAAAATCATCATAAATGATACTTAACTTAATAATTATTGGAGCTCTCACTTAGGTTTGCTCGCTCCCTGTATCCACACACAAAATGCTCTTGCTTTGGCTTCTGTGCGTTTGCATGTATTAACAAAATGCTTGTTTCTGGTCACTCTATTGCAGTTTGTTGCAAGATAATTACTTTAAAAGCAAGTTTTTGTATTTTTTGGTTGGTTTTCAGTGTAACTTGTTTGCCACTGCTTATGTTGTTATTGCAAACGAGATTGGTTGATACCGGCTTATTTTTTATTATTTGCTACGAAAGTTCAAATCTTAAGGAAGATATTTCTTTGGCAGTCGGTTGAGCTCAGATAAAAATGGAACCTTTTTTTGCACAAAAAGACGATTTAATAAAGGAAATTTTAATGGAAAACATTTTTTCTTCACCATTCACTTTAAATGAAATAATTTGCTTTCAAATTTGTTTTCATTCCTCTTTTGTCAATTAGATTAAAACAGAAAGTCCTTGAGTGAAAAAAAAAACAATTAAAATCGAATTTGAATTCAAATTGTTTGTGAAATCGTGAATGTGGTTTCAGAGGTTTTTTGTTTCATCGGATTTTGGCGTGTAAGCTATAACATAAAAAAAATATCTAGAAATTTGTGAAAGGGAATTTTATGTTAAAGTAAAATAAGAAAATAAAGATCGGTAGAGACTATCCT